CGGATGGAGACTGCGCGCCCCGCGCGGCCGGGATTTCCTGGCCACCAACGGGGCGAGCGATGCTGCCAGACAGAGTTGTAAAAATATTCCCGAGAGACAGCACTTTTGCCTGTCGTTAGTAGATCAAGAGAAGTCCAGCAGATCTTCCTGAGCGGGATTTCATATGTTTCATTCACTTCCCGGGAAGATAAATGTTTTCTGAGTGTTTGAGATAGGCATGGCTGGAGAATGGGGGCTTCCGTCGGGGGTTCACTTACGGAGGGAGTCTGCAAATCCAGCTGCCCTTGCAGTGTTCTTGAGGAAGCCCTTTGCCGCTGGTGGGGCTTGGCAAAGACTTCTTCAGGTTGGAGCCACATTCGGGTGGAGAAAGTCGGTTTAGGGCAAATGTCACCATTCTGCCTTTTGGCGGGAGGTGTAAGGAGATAGTTGTGAGTTCCTGGTAAAACCTCGTGCCTTTGATCCCCCCAATGTCCCATACAAATACAAGTTTGACTTCCAAAAGTCTGGGGGTATAGTTGAGTCTGTAAAAGTCTTGGTTCTTCGGACAAGGTTTTGATTGTGCAATTTGCCTACCTGGTTCTTCAAAGCTGACTTTCAAACTTCCTGGGTTTCCCCATCACATCCACTGGGTCTCTGGCTTGGCTTCTGTGCTTTCCTTTCCACAGAATAACAGACCACTTTCCGATTAAGATCCCTGCAACTTTATGCTTGGGAAAGTCTTGGCTCTCTGGGGCATCACTTGCTTGAACTATCTGCAAATGGCAAATTTCTTGAGTAACTATTTCTATAAAATGAAAACGTTGGGGTAAGGGCATGCCCACAAGAGCATATTCTGGCCAGTTGGAGCAGAGGCATTGCCTACAGCAACCTGAGGCTTCAGAGACAGACCACACAGGACTGCTTGTGCCACCAGAAGTTGGCAAATGCCCCTTGTGAGGCACAGCCAGAAACGATGGGCAGAGTCTGCCCTTGCATCAGCACGGGACAGGTTGAGGGTGACGACATTGTTAACAGCCTCAACAAACGCTCAGTGGGGAACTGCACTCCAGACAAGCAGGACACAGAGGAGCCTCTTATCTGGCTTTGAGTAGCAATAAATCTCCAAATCCTAAGTGCAGTTCAAGTTTCAGACGTGCACAAGCAGACTCACAGGCCAAAGCAGCAGGAGTGAGAATTTGAAGGTCACTGAATTGGGCGGAGAGATTTCCAAACTGGGGCAGGACCACAAGGAAGGGCCCAATGTTAGTCATCAGCACTTGACCTCCGATGGCCGAGATGGGAAGAAAACATTCCCCAAGCATCCAGGTAGGATGCATTGGTGCGGTTCTGGATGTTTCCATCAGTGCCAGATGGGAAAAACATCCTGCATTTTCTCCTAAGAGGTTTCATTCAGTTTGATGAAGGGGCTTTTCCTTTTTCTTTTCTTTTTTAAAGCATAAGAGAAAATTGGGGACATTGTCTTGGATGGGATATTATGGAACTAAATAACTGCAAGTTGGCTGATGGGCATCTGTGAATATCCTATCTTGTATTGTAGAAATTCTCTGTTCCTTTAAATCCCTCTTCTCATGGGACTTTTTAAGATTGGGGGTGTAGCAAGTAGGGAGTCTTCAGGTTTAAGAAGATGAGAAACAGCTGACAGAATCTGCTGTCGCAGTAGCCCACCTTCCATCACTTCCATCAGCAGAAGATGCTCAAAGATATTATCAAAAAAGTTGGAAATAATTTCTCAAGTACCCTAAAAATAAAGTGGGAAACCAGAAGTCTTTGATACAAGGAAAGAGTTTCACATCTCTGAATCCTGCCAAATCTTGCTTGTTGCTTACATATGAGTACAGTGAGCGGGTGGTTCACACTTTGTGCTAAGCCCTGAAGTGGTTTGTCTGGTTTTGGCTTAGCTTGTTGGGTAACCCACCCCTTACATGCTTATTCAACAACCATGATTAGAACAAAACATGGCTTAGGGTGATGTGTGAACTCAGATGGTGTGTTCTTTGGGAAATGTCAGTAAAAACAAGAATCTAAACCACTGTTCCTTTTATGTCATGCGAAAGGAGAACGTGGATGCAGGAATAAATGGAACCTTCCAGAAAGTAAAGTATCTGAGACCAGCTCCTTCCCAATAAAAGCCTTTTCAATTAATGCCCCTTTGGTTTCCCTTAAAAGAGGCGTCTCTTATTCTAGAGGATATAACATGGAAAAGAAAGTGTACAGCTATTGAGCAGAGCCCACTTGCACAATCTAATGTTCTTGTGTAATTTGCAGATTGAATATAATCTATGAATTTCAGTACAATAAAGCAGAGAAGAAAAGGCTCAAGAAGCACTCCATGCTTAGGAGGAGGAGGAGGAGGACTGTCTGCCTCAGAAAAGGGCAAGAAGTAAAGCCCATGAGTTTCCCAAAGAGGTGGGTGACTGCTTTGCCACATCAATTGATTATCCACAGACTCTGTCACTTTTCAGCAGAGAAATACAATCTAGCATCCCCCGGTCACCCTCCTGTTCAGCACATTTTTGCCAAATGACTCCCATGGATTTTTCCGTCTGCGTGCAGCAAGCGTATTTATTGCAGCTCTCGATTTCTTTCTGCTTAGATATTTGAAAGCTGCCAAGCTACCCTCCGGCCAGCTAGCTAAGCTGTCTCGGGGGCCGCATCTATCTCCCCACCTGGCACAGGCAGCCACAGCCCCTCGCCTGCATCCATGAAAAAGGCAACGTGGCTGCAGGCCAGCCCACCCCCTCACCTTGCCCTCCCTGCACAACTCAACTTCCCTCCCTTCGTGGCTCTTCCTGAAGAATCCCTGTCTAATTTCTCTTTGGCCAAGCTCATGTTACTTTACCAGGCCGAGAATGGGACCTCCTTCAACTGGACCCACAGACAGATTGTGGAGTGGGAGAAGTTTGCTGAGCTGGCAAGGTACGAGTCCCAGAAGCCTGCCGGGAAGGCTCTTCTGATTGTGGCCTATGCAGTGGTCATCCTAGTCTCTCTCTTTGGAAACATCTTGGTCTGCCAGGTGGTGGTCAAGAACAAGAAGATGCACTCGGCCACCAGCCTCTTCATGGCCAACTTGGCTGTCTCAGATATCATGATCACTTTGCTTAACACCCCCTTCACGCTGGTAAGTGGTCATCAGGCCCACCCCTGTGGTCTGAGGCTGGGAGGGAGAAGATGTTGCCCTTGACCAGGTCACTGCATGCTGGGCTCTTCTTTTCATGCATTGGACAGGCAACCGGTAATGCACGGGTTGCCCCCATATCCTTTTATGGCCTATTTTCCAGACAGCTGTGGAGAATTAGCACGCACTCTTAATAGTTTGCACGACAATAAGTAAAAGTTATGTTTCAGGATAATGTATTTACTTAATCTGTATATTACTTAAACAAAGCATATGGCCACGTATTTCATTCTCATGACTCTGGGGGGGCTAACAGTACCTTAAAAGCTAACACGGAGATCCAAAAACAAAAGTTAAGAAGAATTATAACAAGGGAAAAAACACCAAAACAACGTGCAATAAGCAATGCACCAAGGCCAACTAAAAGCGACATTTCTTACTCAACCACACAGGTTAGGCTCACCTAACATCCCAGCCTCAGTGCCTGGGGTAAGAGCCAGGTTTTTAAGGCCCTCCTACAGGCTAAAAAGAAAAGAGTAATTTCTGATTATTAAGAATAATTATTCTGATTATTAATCACAGCAAGCATTACATCTTCTCAAAAAGCACTCAGCCTAGGACTTTCCTGAGGGTAACAAATTCTCCAACAGCCCCAGAATCTTGGCTTTTGTCAGCCCCGGCAGTTACATCTACTTAATGTATTGTGCTCATTAACAAAGCAATCTTAAGCAAGTTTAGCAAATACTCCTAAGCAAATAAGCATTTGCAACCAACAAAATTTTATTAAAGCATACGTTATACTGGACTGGGAGGAAATGGCTTTGGATTAAGTAGGAAAATTTGCAAACCCGTTCTAAAGAAATACATTTAATTAAGTCTCCATAATTCTGTGGAGTCAAGTAAAAGGTTGTCCCCAGCATGAGCCAGGGCGCTTCTCTATTAGGACATGGCAGAGCACAAACATTTGCACAGACTTAGCGCTTGGCGTGAAGGAGGAGGCTTCCCTGCTCTGCTCTTCCAGCCTTTGGGACCAAAAGCCATCTCACTGTCTTACAGCCTCCAACTGATGCAGACAGAAGGAAGGGCCAGAAACATGGTGGCAGTCCATGTTCCCTTCCCTCCGGAAAGTACTAGAATAGTGCAGTATTGCTGTATATCACTATTACCGAAGTCGCTATTTTCATCTAATGAACTTGCACAAATTGCATCCAAGCTTCACAGGGAGCCTCTCAACTATGGGTCGCATGAGTGGTGGCGGTCAGCTTTGGAAGAGAAGGACTGTGACTCAGGATTAGAAAGACCACTTTGTACACAGAAGGTCTCCAGTTCAATCCTAATTTCTCCAGCTAAATTGAGGGGAAACTGTACTCTGACATCTAGATAACTAGTGCTAGTCCACCTGAGTTTTATCTTTCCCAACCTGAAAGTTGGGAAACCTGGGTTAACACTGCAACGCTGAGAGTTTGGAGGCATAAGCCACTCATGGTACCTGGAGAATCCCAAGACAGTTGGAGGAGACCAGACTAGAGAAGGCTGGTAGGCTACTTATGTGCAACTTTTTATGTTCCTCGTGATTGATCCCAGCAGCCATTGCTAAAGACCATGAAGGAAGTGTTCTTGTCTTGTCTTCCTGTTTTTCTGGGGGAGGGGATGTTCCCCAGAGTATCTGCATGGCCATTACAGAAAATAAAATCTTGAGTGATCTTGGCTTTGGTTTGATCTGTCTATAGCACTCTTCTCAGGTTCTTCGCATCTTCTGCAGGTTCGATTTGTGAACAGCACCTGGGTCTTTGGGAAAACTATGTGCCACATCAGCCGCTTTGTACAATACTGTTCCCTCCATGTCTCCACACTGACCCTAACAGCCATAGCCTTGGACCGACATCAGGTATGGAATCCTCAAGTGATCTCAGGTACAGGTGTTTGGAAACCAAGAATGTATTGATTCTCATTTTCCCCTGCTCTGTTAAATTTGATTAGAGAGTAGATTTCTGTTTATAATGAGAACTGTTTTTTTCAATCCTGAATAGAGGGTGAAACCAAGAGGTTCACCAGTTTTCTAAATGGACATTACTCATTGAGTAATAGACTGCATGATTGTAGATGGAATTGAGGAAAGTCCATTGCAGTTTGGGTTAATTAATTGTATTCCAGCATCATCTCAGTGGTGACAATGGTTTAAGGAAATTTGTGACAGCCAAGAGCCAGGTAAAAGTTTGAGAATTAAGAAGTTGATGTTGAAATGTTCTTCAGCCAGAGAAAACTCATGTGGGAAATGTCCTATTACTATTATTCATTATAATGTCCTATATTAAATCTCTCTAATATCCCCCATTTCAAGATAACTTTCTTAAAAGCACCAGATCTTCTAATCTACAGCCCTTATGTATTCTCTGCTGAGATGAGAAGAGTTATGAAGCACCGTTTATTTCAGGTCATCTTAAACCCACTTAAGCCAAGGATGTCCCTGACCCAAGGAGCACTCCGTATTTCTGCCATCTGGATCATGGCAGCCTGCTTCTCTTTGCCCCATGCAATCTATCAAAAGCTTTTCAAGTATAATTACAGGTAAGTCACCAACCTGCCTTTCCTTCCTCACTCATTTGGGTGTCCTCAACTACATTTATTTATTTATTATTTATTTGGCAGCACCATAACACCCCTAGTGGTATGGCATGGATCAGTCCACCATCAGTCCGTATCAATTCTACACTGAACTCCTTTCTGTAGCATTCAGTGAATTATAGTAAAACATGCACCCACACAAGAAAAAAACAGTCATGATTGTTCCACTTCTGGAAAGATACATTTCAGAAAAGGATTCAGCTGTAGCTTTTATAGTAGAGTTGTGCTTGTGCTATTCTGGGGAAGCGTCATCTACCCTTGCATTCAAGATGAAAGTATGATCAAAACGTACAAAAATTCCAAGAAAAAGGACTTGGTCACAGGCCAATTAAACAAAAAGGACTCTGGGAAGAAGTAGCCAATGCCTAATGTGATATCAAGCAATCCACCTTCCCTACCTGAATTCTTACCTGAGATCTAGTGAACATCTCTATCAGTGGAAATCAGAGCCAAGAAGGGCCTTAACATGGAAGAGGAGGGAAATGGTGGGGTCATGAGTTGCTTGTTTTATTCTTGCAGCTTTTCCCCAACAATATGCTTTCCTCTCATCCTCCAGACAGAATGAAAGCACCCTCCCTGAAAAACGGTTGCCTCCATAGCTGCTTCTTGCCATGCCTCCAAAATGAGGCCATCATACTGTAGTTGCTGCCCTCACACAAGGGGGGGGGGAGTTTCTGCTGCTGGAGGGCAGCTGTGAGGTGGTACAGAGGTGAGGCAGGTGCAGTGAAAGGGAGAGGAGCAGGGAGGGTGAAGGACCCCTGTCTCCCTGGGTTTTTCTCCTCTTCAGCAAGCATGGGAATTCTGTAACTTTTTTTCCCCATTCAATAAATCTGGTTCATGAAATTCTGTGAGAATCTGGTCTTCTTGTTTGTGAGTAACTGCTGGGGGTTGACATTAATCTTGGAAAGTGGAGGTGTGGACTCGAGCCCCTACTTATCGGTAAGTTTGCTAGGGCAAGGATCCTTTGATCCTCTTCCTGATATCTCTTGAAGCAGAGGGGAGGTTGTTACTTTGTTTGCTTCTATGGAGGGAGTATACAGGTAGTCCTTAACTGATCACCATTTGTTTAACGACTATTTGAAGTTATGACAGCACTGGAAAAAGTGACTTATGACTGTCCTCGCACTTACGACCATCACAGCATCCCCATGATCATGTGATCAACATTCGGGCACTTGGCAACCAGCATGTATTTATGACAGTTGCAGCATCCCAGGATCACATGATCACCATTTGCGAGCTTCCCAGGGGGCTTCCAACAAGCAAAGTCAATGGGGAAAGCTGGATTCACTTAACGGCCGTGGCAAAAAAGGTAGTAAAATCGGAGGCGACTCACTTAATGAACGCATCACTTAGCAATGGAAGTTCCAGTCCCAATTGTGCTTGTAACCTGAGGACTATCTGTACAGATGTTCTGTACTATTTTGGAAACCGTCATTCTATGAGCCTTCCAGATGTTATGGGTTTGCTACTCCCAGTATTCCTAGTCAGTATAGGCCATCCAGACATGCCTGGAGGGTCTCCAGGTTTGGGAAGGCTGAGTGACATATACATTATTGTAAGCCTGTATCACAAATATTTCTTGTTTTTCAAAGGAAAACTACGGTCCGTAGCTTGTGCCTCCCTGACTTTCCTGAACCTGCTGAGCTGGTGTGGAAATACCTGGATCTTTCTACCTTCCTCCTCCTCTACCTCTTGCCACTCCTCTTCATCACCATCACATATGCCCGATTAGCCAAGAAGCTGTGGTTGCGCAACACGGTTGGGGATATCACAATGCAACAGTCTGTTGCCCATCATAAGAACAAGAAGAGAAGCATCAAGATGCTGATCCTTGTGGTTGTCGTGTTCGCTGTCTGTTGGTTTCCCCTTAATTGTTATGTGCTGCTCATCTCCAGCATGGGCATCCAGACCAGAAATTCCCTTTATTTCATCCTGCACTGGCTGGCCATGAGCAGCACTTGCTACAACCCTTTCATCTACTGCTGGCTCAATGAAGGGTTCCGCTCTGGGCTCAAATCCTTGCTTGTCATCTGTCGGAAGGCGCCCACCATGCGGGACAATCTGAGGCCAGGGATGGTCCTACCTTATCGGGAGGCCTGGATGGAGCAAGCCAGGTACAAGCATGGATCTTTTTTACGTTCAACTACTGATGGGCAGACACTCAACACAGATTTGTAATATGGTGGATCAAGGTGAGTTGACCAAATGCTTTGATTGTCTCTGCGTGACTCCAATGGCAGCTTGAATGCGCAAATGTACCACCACTGAGTCTTTCTGACACTGTCCAAGTTTTTATTGTGAATATTATAGGTAGCATTTATACTTTAATCATGAAAGAAAAATAATTGCACCTGAAAAGCTTTTGCATTCTACTATTCAAAAGTCATGATTCAATTTTCAGAGTGTGAGAATGACTGCTCCTAGAATATAGATAGTCCTCGACTTACGACCACAATTGGGACTGTCACATCTGTCACTAAGCGATGCGGTTGTTAAGTGAGTTGCACCCAATTTTACTATCTTTTTTGCTGCGGTCTTTAGCAAATCCAGCTTCCCCCATTGACTTTGTCAGAAGCCCCTTGGGAAGGTCACAAATGGCAATCACGAGACCTCAGGACACTGCAGCCGTCATAAATACATGCTGGTTGCCAAGCACCCGAATTTTGATCATGTGACCACAGGGACACATGACAGTCATAAGTGCGAGGACCGGTAGTAAGTCACTTTTTTCAGTGCCATTGTATCTTTGAATGATGGTTAAACAAATGGTCATTAAGTGAAGGACTACCTATAGTTGATCATCAAAACAAACATACATTTGGAGAATTAGAAACATCCCTGGTAGAGATTTTTAAATCATTCTAGGGAGTCCTGACATTCTTTAGAAGCTTATTGAGTTCTTCATCTTGAAGGTCAGAAATGATGGACAATATTTGGTAAAAAGAAAAGAAAGCTTGACTGCATATCTCTGAAATGTGTAGCCACAGAAGAAAACTGAGCATGTTCTAGCATATGTACTGAGCGCAGATGGAGCTCACTGTCACTAATAGAATATACACCCCAGTATATGCACTAGAACTAGACCATATCAGATGGGAGTCATGCAGGTGTGCCCACATCTGTGTGGCTGAGCTGGGCAGGGCTATCTGATTAAGAGCCAAGTTGGAATCCATCCAATTCCAGAGCAGTAAAGAGTCTGAAAGACCTGCTGGAGTGAAAAATGAAAATGTAATTCTGAAATCTTGTTCTCCCTTGTTGTTGTTGTTCAGTCGTTAAGTCGTGTCTGACTCTTCGTGACCCCATGAACCAT